TTCTGAGCTGATATCTCCAAGCCCGTTACATCTTCAGAAAATATTTTAAATTGTCTTGCCTCTAATGGTAACTGTCGTCCATACTGAAACTGCAACATTCCCCGTAAAGCGAATAATTGAAAAGTTAATCAACACATCTGATTTCATTGGCCAACTTACTACAATGATTATCCCCTCATCGAATATCCGCCGAGCCTGATAAACACATGGTAAAACCGATATTAATCTAACTTTTACCTACTTAAAGAACAACATAAAAAAAGTTTAAATTGCAAATAGACACACTGTATAACTTCGCAAGATATGCAAACATAGGAACCGGGTACATGAATTTCTGAGTACTCTATACGGCGTGCAAGTTCATCTGCTTCTTGGGCGCTTCGTGCGCTTGTTCACCCGATAAACGCGCCTACGTGGTTTTGGTTTTCACCAACCTCGACCAATGACGGAGCGCCCTTGACTGCCTCCTTGGGTTCCGACGCACCAAAGACGGTATTTCGGAGCACTTGCTCGCCGTATATGCTGCTTAGGGTTGCATATGACACTGTAAGCTTATGTACAACATACTAAACGTAAACACCCGAAAAGGTCTCTGGGAGCTTAAAAAAGAACCTGAGAAGATTTTTAAAGAAAAAAACACGAGTTAGAGGTGAATTTTAGAATATTTTAGTCCCTTGATTCTGAATATCACGTTCGCTTTCAACGAAGATGCAACTAAACGCGAGAAAACAGGAAAAGCCACCGACCAGTCGTCACGTCATACCCAGACCTTTCTGCCACGAAGCGGGCGTCACTCGTGGGAGCAGCGCGTACAATAGGCCCTTTTTTTAAAGTTCATCGAGCAACATTGGTGGTCGCCATTGCTTGGACTCGAAGATTGGATCCGAGTCCCCGCCGAACGCTGACATCAGCACTCGTGTCCGATGCGTGCTCAGAGTAGGTGAGCAGGCAATGGCGGACAGGCCTTGGCGGGGACTTTCGAGAAAGGTGTATGGCAAGCCTTTGCCATGAATATTTTCCCACACTGAAACCAGTCGTGAAGTCTTTTTCGGACATCTTTGAAAATAGCGGGAGTGCGTTTGCAAAGATTTGATAGGCGCTGTAGTTGCAAGAAGGCGGCGATTCCGAACAATCTGGATGAGACGTCACGTTCGGAGAAGGAGGGGCTTCGGGGGTACGTTGAAACCATATTCCTCAAGTACGAAAACATCATTTGAAATACCTGGAAACAATGTGATATTAAAGAAATTGAATCAACCCAAAAGAAAGCAGCACGTCATATTTTCCGTCGCTACGACGGAGACTTTTCCCCGTCCTCTAATCTTTCTGCTCTAAGCTTAAGTCCTCTTTCCAATAGACGTCACACTGAGAGCACTAAAGTCCCATATGGTCTGGTTAACTCGGCACGTCTCACCTCATTAGACGCATACATAAGGTTTCACATAGCGTCATCAACAAGGAGCCACCATGACCTAAATATTTCCCCGTTTTATGCACGTACTGACATGTTTAATTTCAGTTTTTTCCCTAGATCAATTGAACATTGGAATCTGCTACACAGTAACATCCGTTCATTACCTCCAGACGAGTTTCTCTGTGCGGTTGACAGTGGCTGATCTTATTTTACGATACTTTTTTTTCTCTTGTCTTATTCAATATTTAGCCGTGATAACCCCCCCCCCCACACACACACACACACGCACACACACTCCTGCAATAGCCCCGACGAGGCTGCAGTATATAAACATGATTTTTTGCAAGCTCCGTGCATTAAACTAAAAACAAGAATTATAATATTGATGTTTGTCATTCTGGAGGGCAAAGGGAAACGACTTTAAGTGTTTTTCCTTAGGTACAGAACCGCTTCAGTTTTCCCATGACCAGAAATTGGCTACAGGCGCTTCTAGTTCACTTATCTGTCTTCACGTGGCGCATTCACCTTTAACGTATACGCTATGTGCGAATTCCCGCCGAAGTGTTGTGTGTGACGAGTGAAAAAAAGAGTTCAGTAACTTTATATATAACAAATGATTAAGATAAAGAGTGCCATGCGGTTGCAACGTACTGATAACTTTATCGTCTTCCTTACCATTTAATGGCGATTATGCGATCAAAGAAAGCGCATCGGAACTTTTCACCGATTTGGCAGAAGTCATTTCACGAATTTGTACAGTTCTTATATTTGACTTGGAGTACGATACAGTTAGGTACCTTCAGAAATAACTGTTGTGAGTGAGTGTAGGGCATAAAACGTACGCTATTATTTCTGGTTGGTTTTGTAGACGTATTTAAGGATGGATTGTCAGGTTATGTAATTTAAGCGGACACTTTTTTACGCGTTGATTTATATACACTTTCCGCCTGTTGCAGTATTGTCATCAATAAAAGGAGCCGATAAATTTGGAACGAAAAATCTGAAAGACGTTTACAACGTCCTGTAACTCCGAATTAGAGCGCAGCTCTTGAGGAGCAGGAGGGGAGGGTACGGAGGGGACGGTATGTCCCTTCTCGTCGTCCGTACCCTCTCCTTCTCCTGTCCTCCTCGCTTTTCCTTGGCATCACGTGACTTCACGTGACCCTCGTGAGTCACGTGACCCTCGTGAGTCACGTGATCCTCGTGAGGTCGCGTGATGCTATCGACGTCACGTGACCCTCGTGAGGTCACATGACCCTGGTCATGTGACCCTCGCGAAGTACATTATGGGACATTTCCCATAATGCACCACGCGGTTACGCCGACGGCGACGCCGCTCAAGCCGGAAGCGGGCGCCTGAGAGCTGCGCTCTAAAACAAACATTCAACGATACGAAATTGTGCCTACAAACATAAGGATGGACAGCGGCGGCAGCATATCTCTCACTTTGCTGATTTGGACAACTCCTCTGTTACAGTTTCTACCTTGTAAAATGTGCTCGTCTCGGCATTCATCTGCACCTTCAGTCCTGCTGTTCGTTTCTTGGCGACTGTTTTTGGCGAGCGTCTGCTTCCCATTGTTGGTGGTTTCCCGCTGCTGTTTTCTGCTCAGTTGGGATCGGCGACGGTCTTTTCCGCACAAGCGCAGCCCTTCCTGTGTCGGAGGCAGGCAAGGACCGGTTCCTCCGTGCCGCGGTGATTGGCAGCGGCGGCAGCATATCGCTCACATCGCTAATCTGGACAACACTTCTGCTACAGGTTGGCAATGATTAGATAATTTTCCCTCTTCGAACCTATGCTGCCGCTGCTGCCGCTGCTACTGTCACATATAATAAAGTAGTGTTTCGTGTCGTACTATTCCCCTGCGTAAACAATGTCTGACACCTCATCGTATTGTGAATCACCCTTCCTCGAGAAGAATTACGGGTCGGCAGTGTGTGGTGAATGTGCACGAAAGTGTCACTTTGTGAAGTGTGCAGGAGTCACTAAGAACCCCTTTAGTGGGAAAAGTGAAGAGTCAAATGGCGACATGACGGTGTCCTACATTCAGAGCCACAAGATCGCGCGCTAGTTAACAGTGCGGAAGACGAACCTGAAATTGATGCAAGAACTCTCCTTGTGTCTATCCACCAGAGACTGGGCGGACTTTCGAAACTAAAAGAGTTAGTGGGCAGCATGAAACGATCAGTTCAGTTTTGTCGAAACAATTTGATGATTTCGAGAAGACAGTCAAAATCCACGATACCGAAATCAAGGAACTAGAAAGAGAGTGACAGACCTGGAGAATAAAGATGAACTGAGCAGAGCAGGACGTGACCAACTGCAGCAGGAAGTCAACGACATCAAACTTCGAAGTCGGAAGACTGAATCTAAAAGTACATGGTATCCTGGAAGTGCAGGGTGAAAACCTGATTGAAACATGGAACCCAGTTGCTGACAAACAAGAGGTTCCTCATCTAGCGGAATCTTATGTTGTAGCTCTACACAAGTTGCTCGCAAGTCAAGACCACGTCCCCGAAATACTCCTTCATTTTCTAAGGCGACAAATCAAGGGCAAAGGGCTGAACAAAAATGCAACCTAAAGCCCCCACTGCACTCCTCCTATATTCATCCAAGATAATCTGACTCAATACAACAGGGAATTTATCCTGGCAGCCAAAGATCGAGCAAAAGAAAAAGACTACGCCTCTTCGTGCTACATAGATGGAAACATTTTCGTTCGTAAGACGGAAGGCGCACGGCCATTCAAATCAAACGCCTGGATGACTTTGACAAGCTGAAGAAGAAAAGGCCAGGGATGCTTCTTTTTAATTTTTTTTTCACATTACTGACACAAAATTTTGCTTTCCTTTATTCAGATGTGATAAGGTTGTTTAATGATAAAACAAATAAACCACTTTTTGTTTTTCCCTTAAATGTCAAGTTGGCGAGAAATAAAAGTGATGATCTTGGAATCCTTCTTGATCATTTCGGATTTACTTTTGATTTGATTATGCGAGCGAAACAAAGGCAACAACACCTTTTATAATAAAATTATTCATTGGTTTAACAACTATACTGATAGTTAAAAATTAATAAAACGACAATAAAAAAAAAACGCAACCCTAAATAACAAAAACAGGCTTTATTGAGCTGCTGAATTTTCCCTTCATCCGCCTGCAGTCGGAGGTTTTACACGGCGAGTTCCTCTAGGAAAACTGGCGCCTTGAATGACCGAAGTAGGAAACCTCTCTGGCAGCTTTCGGAAATTTATACGCAACACGACGCTGAATACCCGAATAGGAGTGAGCCTGGTATACTCGTTCCACGTAAGCCTTGGTGCGCGTTATACTGACAGGGAACATTTCCGTCCAAGGTTATCAGCATTCGCGTCGTGTTATTTGTTTTAGCTTCTATAATAACTTCAGACAACCCTTGGAAGACGCGCTTTATTTTTACATCAACGGAAGTCGCCAAAACAAGACTTCGTCTATATAAAACGCGCGCCCTCTTCGTGAGACTTGGACTGTATAAAAGAAAACCGTTACGTTTCACGCACTCTGGCTTAGAAAGACTCTTAGAAAGACTCTTAGGAAGACAACCAGAATATGCTGAACCCGGCTGCGATGCTTCTTTTTACGGTCTTGATTCTTCTCGTCGTCAAGGTCTTAAGGTAAGTTTTCGTAGAAATTCGGAGGTATGCGCCCTTACAAATCCGGTCCACCTAGTTTCCGACAAGGCACTAGGGAGTGTAGAACGCTTAAATCGGCGGAGGAAGCTCGGCATAACACAAAGCTGCAAAATGTTTTGAGACCTAAATCTAAAAGTTGTTTTGTGATATGAGCAGCACGTAAACAAGTAAAACGTCAAGCACAGTCTCACAGCGCAGAGCGTTGTTTGAGTTCTAAGCCTATTTTTAGCCTGGTCTGTCGCCAAGCTGCCTCTGTAAATTGCAGCGATTGCATCTTCCAAGTGTTTTGCGGGAATGCAGACAAGCACCAGCATTTTTGTTAGAGTGAATACGAAATAATAGCTTGCACCGACTGTAGAGTTTTTTCACAAATAGGTAATAGCGAGTTTTTCTTTCATTTTGTTTTGTTTGCGTGCGAATTTCGATTTGAATGGAACTGCGCAGGTTTATTCCTAGCCTTGGCACTGTTGAGAAAGCCGGTTGCCGTGGTTTTTCGGTTTTCACTATAAAGGTGACTCAGTACTATCCGATTCTAACCATTATTTGCACAGTCCTGTAGCCACCGCCAGCTTAAGCATCGAGGACGTAACTTACGCGGAGTGCGAGTCATCTGCTTCTTGAGCAGGAGTGGCGGTGACGTCACAATGACGCCGAGCTTAGATTGGCTTTGATTGAAAGGATAGTGGAAGCACCTCGATGCTAGGAGCCTTGAGGTTTACCCCCTATGTTTTTCCAAACAGCCAATAAGAGCTCGCCGTTGTGACATTGTCGCAACCCCTGTGCAAGAGACAGACGAACTTGCGCCCCCCATTCTGTTCACACTCCATGCTTCGTGATTTGTTCTTCTGGGTCTTATGTGTCGATTCCGAAATCTTCCTAGTTGTGGAGCGATATAACGCGATTTTCGGGACAGACCATGGCCGGCGTGTCTTAAGCGTGATGAAGATAAGTAGAGGTAAAGAAGACTGTTCATGGGCTAGCTGGAGTAGTCTGTCCCCGGTGAATACTCGTAGCCACCTCAGTAACCGTCGTAAAAAAGAAAAATGCCTTGATCCACGCGGAACGTTACTAATTTCCCCCTTCGCGTGTTAAACAAAAGCGTATCTGAGTGCACCTAGGAATAGCTTGAGGTTGTTTTATGGAGAGACACACGTTTCAAACACAAAGAAGAAACATATTTTCATTCCTTAACAAGCAATATTGCAGGATCCACTTTGTGCTAAGCATGAGTAATGCGCAAACGTTTTTTTTTATATGACGACAAGTATAGTTAAAATATATGTATATGTTTCGGTGTTCAAATTATTTGTGCCTTTTCGACTCGCAACTTCATATTTCGTACATTGCTAAGAGAGCCTTCACTTTACATTAATGTCCGGAGGCGCCTTTTAAATTATTACCCACCTGACACTTGACCAACTCAGCTCAGATGAATTGAATTGATCGCTTTGGGCGTTTAAAGCGTTTGATATACCTAAACGGAGTGGTTGTTTTTGGGGGGTAGATGGCGACGCAGGACGTTCTGCTACTTCAAGGATCTCGGAATTCCTGGTCCTAGTCCAAACCTGATTTGGGGAAATCTCCGGGAATACCACGAAAAAGTGAGTCGTTTCGCGCTCTGAACATGAACACGAGCACACTTTTGTTTTCTGCGCAATATTCAAACAGGCTACGACTACCCAGGTAAGGCAACTTTAATGGGCTAAAATTTGATGTTTGAATATCTTGGACCTTAACGCCAGAAAAAGCCAAGGTAGAGCGAAACTGGACCTTTCCTATCCAGAGTCTGGGTATCTAGGCCCTATTTCGCTAAAAGAGTGCCAACGTTAGGCCTTACTACCGGTAGTTTGGCTGGCATATGGCGTCCTTGGGCCTAAATTACGAAAGAAGAGCCAGAGTCAACCTGAAATTCTGGTTGCTCGCTTCAAAATGCGGCAACTTTTGGCCTAAAAGTTACACAAGTGCGTTTTAGGCATCGCAATTCTTTGGCTGAAGTCTGGCTCCTTGCCAGTGATGTGGTAAGCCAGTAAAAGCCACATATACGCGAAAGAAAAGTACATTTGCACTGACACCTCGGCGCCAAACCGTATTAGGCTCAGGACAGGCCCCTGAGATTGCCAAGCTTTTGCCAAGTTGGTTATTTTTCTGGCGTGCTTCTTGGGCATTTAGTAATTATGAGATTCAGCGATTTAGAGGTAAATGCGTCGTGATGGTCTAGAAAAGAGGAAGTTAGTCAGTCTCCATGAGAGTCTAAAGTCTCAGCTACAGATTAGAGACGTAGCAAGTGAAGAAAAACCTTCAGACCGTGTTCTTTAACGTGCATCACGTAGTAGTGATACACGACAGCACGCCGGTACTCTGGTCATCCAGACCGAAACGGGCAGGTGTGGGGATTGAACCCAGGACCCCTGGGTTCTGCAGAGTGTTGTACACGTTACTAAGAAAAAAAAAGTAATCGATTACAGGTGACAATCACTCTCGGTTGAAGAGCATTCATTTAGACTACTTGATTAATCGACAGGAGAAAGGAAGTGGACGTTACTTGCAAAATTGCAAAAGTGACCGTTACTTTTCCGGTTACTTCAGTTTTTCAAAACGGCAGACATTTCGCCCGGTTTTAGAGTGGGCCTTTCGTAGTGTGAAATTTTGAAATATAATCACAGGACGTAAAACTACTCATCTTCTTGATCAACCAGTCTTGGTAAACAATCCCCTTGTCGGAGGCTTGGTTCGGGAATTCCAGTGTAACAAAATCTGGACGTAAAGGGAGCCACTAGGAAGTGGAGCGGAAAACCTTATAAGAACTTATTTGTACGAACTTGGGGATAAAAGGGAAATCGCAATGAAGAAAAAAAAAGAAGCTTCGGAAGTTTTATTTAGATTAGCGAAGCTAAAGGGGAGCAAACCGGATGTAGCTTCGTCGCTCGAAGTAACGTTTGCACCCGCTTGTTTTACGCCCACGGAACGTTACACAGAAAGGCACTCGAAACTTGAATTTGGAAAATAATGCTTTCTAGTGGAATGCCGAACATCTTTGTCAATTTTTTGCTGACATTATCTGGTATTGTATATCTCGGAGTTCTGGGGCACTAAATAGAGAAAGTACTTTGGGGCGGGATAAAAAAAAATTAGGGAGGGAGAACAGTTTGAAGGGTGAATAAGGATGTAAATGCTACACTAACCATCAACCTTCGAACTTAAATTTTTTTGTCGGGAAGTCAGACTTCACAGTGCCAGGTTGAAAACGATCGATTAAGCCACCATATCGACGGACCAGGAAAAGGGCCTGCAACCCTTTCGTACAGGTCAGTAAGAATCGTTTTATATTTCGTTGTTCGCAGGATTTAGAAGCTGCTGTAGTGGATATATCCAGTAATTGTAAACTCGGAAACCGAGAGGGGGGGGGGGGGGGGGGGGAAGGAGGGGCGGGTTAAAGTAGTAAATGTACAAGTAGTGGTATTAATTCTAAAAGTTATCAAGTTACTCTAGTGATTACTACGCCAATAAGAGCAATCAAATTATTACCAAATTACTCCAACAAGTAATCCATTACAAGTAATTTGAGTACTTCTAATAAATACCATAATATTGTGGCCTCTGCAGGTCCTTGAGCTTTAGCTTCACGTGTTGAGGAGCGTTAACACGGCCAGCTATCTGCCTGCAACCTGTATTCGCTTGGAAAGGTCATGTCAGCCAAAGCAAAAACACAATTAATGAGAATGTGTATAGACAGGAGAGGTGGTTTAGGCTACACAATCTTAAAACCGGAGAGGACGGAAATAGAAAAAGGAAAACAACACGTCTCCATTGAGACGCCTCGTTGCCTTGTTTTTGTTTTTTAATTTATGTTGTCTCCGGTTTTAATTGCGTGACAGGAAACAAGAATCTTTGTATCAAAGTGTCTTAGCTCAGTGCGCGGGTTCGGACCAGAACGCTGGTTTCGGCTCTAAACGTTCCGTCAAACTGGTTGATTCCTTGTGAGTCATAAGGGAAAGCCGGACCCTGGCGTCTTGTAAAATATACTTGCGGGCTAGAGTCGTTATACTTTGTACTGTAGTAAACCCTACAGTCACGTGAGCGCTCTGAACGCACCACGTGACTAGGCTCCCCCTGCGTCGCTACACGGCTCTCAAAGGTCACATGACACGTGGCATTAGACTGACTTTGATGGCTCTAGGACTCCCCGCGATCTTTTGTAACCTTACACGGATTAAAGCTAGTTGCATTATTGCTCGTAATCGAGTGCTTCCTCGTGTAATTAAAGAAAATATGCGTAGCATCCTTAAGTTATTAATTTTTTTGCAATCTTTGCAGGGTTTGTTCCAGGCCCTCGATAAATGGTGCAAGCAGTATGGCGACGTATTCGGGTAAGGTACTTCGACCGTTCAAATATAAATCTTTGATCTTTTAGTCGATATTTTTGAATGGACCCCAAGAACGATTCTTGGCGTTGAATGCGTAAACAACACTTACATTTACCGCTCAATATACTTCTTGGTAGCCGGTGGAAAAATATTTCCTCGAAAGCGTTCAAATTAAATGTGTTTGTAAAAAAAAGATTGTTTAAAGAAAAATTATTTGAATTGAAAACATGTTTAATTATTAAGGATAAAGTTCAAAATCAGTACGACTCGTGACTTCCTATTATTTTGTTAAACCATCAACTATTGTGGTTTCAATCGCTTTTTTTAAGTATTGTCTTTACTTCTCATTTTCCAGTTTTTACAATGGCGACGTGCCGATGCTGGTAGTAAAGGACCTCGAATTTTTGCATTACATCTTCGTCAAGAGCTCGTCGAATTTCACAGCCCGTGGAGTGCGTGTTTCTTCTTCTTACTCTAGACGTTAATGTAATATTATACTACATTCCCCCAAACATATCTATAGAGCTTCGTTCTCCGCAGAAATGCACTAGGCGCCGCCGAAGTCTAAGTCTCCGTCCAAATGGAACGCCAGCAATTAAATCCAGAAGCCAAAGTTATAGAACTAACCGTTATCTCTTTCAAAAGTGATAAGAGATTTTTTGAAAATGTTCAGGAGAAAATGGGGCCCGTTTTAGGTAACTGGGATCATTCAGCTCGATTTATTTAAGGGATCTGTCGGTTTCCGTGTTTCATTGAAAATTTTTGACAATCTCATAACGTTTTTAGTAATATGACGGTTGCTTCTGAACATTTGTCATCTGGCTCGAAACACTGGCGCTATGTTTCGGCGAAGAATGAGGGTTTGGCGACGTGTAGTTTCCTTCTTCGGAAAGGAAAGGCAATGAAGGTTTTCCCTGTGTGTTTTTGTCACAGCCTAAGATAAAGTTCGTCTCGCCTAACTACAATCACAATTTTTGACATTATTCAACAGTTTTAGTTTCTTTACTAGGAAGTGGTGAGACACCTAATACCGATAACCTCAAGGCAAACGTTGACATAGTGGTCACAGTAAGACAATGCTCGAACAGTTGGATTTCCCCTGGTAATTCTGAAGTTCGGCATAATTTTTTAAGCCAAATATGAGTCTGCTTCGTAGGCTGCAAAGCCCTTGCCTACCTGTTTCGGAAAAGAAAAGAAAAGTATTATGTTTTCGAAGACTAAATAAGTTATGGTTTAGATAGTTCTAAGCTGTAACGTGAGAAATGAACATATTTGCGTTTGGCTGCCATCGATTAACCACATGTGACTGTCTACAACGACAGAACCGCTGGAGGACACAGTGGCACACTGGAGCCTTTACAAATTTCGGGAAGCCTGGAACCCTTTCCACCAGCGTGTAATTATACACTGACGGTTCTGCAGTACTTGCAAGGTCCAGTATAATCCCAAATCTATAAAGAATGATATCTATTAGCATTGTCACAACTATTTCAATGCCATGGCCCAAGGAAAATACGTACATACACACAAATAGAACGTGCTCCAGGGCTACCCGATGGCTGACGCAAGAGAGCCATGCAGACGTTAACTCTCACAAGCGGTCATAACATATTCGACGATTGAAACAAATGTATAAACCAGCATTTTTTTTTCTCGACGATTTGGAATATTTTCTTTTACAGGTCACAATCAGAACAAACGAGATGCACCCTTTTCTTCGACATGCTCTGGTCTTCTCCAGAGACTCGCAGTGGAAGAGCATCCGTGACGTTGTCTCTTCCGCTTTTACCCCTGTCAAACTCAAGCAGGTGAATATTAAAAATGATCGGAATCTCTACCGCGGAACCATGCCCTACAGACAGGTCCACAAACTTAACTGCTTATCTCCGTGTGTTTTAAAATATCTCAAGGCCGATGCACACATTTCAGTTTAAACGGTTGAGGCTCACACCGATAGTTGCGTTTGAACGCGCTTGAATGCCGAACGGCGTTCGTACGGCAGGAAGCAGCCGTTACAAAGCGCTCGTAGCACACCGGAGGTGGGCAATTTGGGGCTTGTCTGTAAACAGCGCGTTGGTGTGTAGGTTCGATTTTAAATGAGCTATTATTCTTTAATAAAAATTCAAGATGATGGCCCACATCGTGGACGTTTGCAACGTGTTCGTGGAACTCATCGGCGAAGATGCTGACAATGGCAAAGAGGTTCGCATGCTTGAAAAGTTTCAGGCGCTCACGGTTGATTACATTGGACGAACATCCTTCGGCATTGACAACAGTTTTCAGCATGACCCGAACCATCCCTTCATCATCAGTGCGAAAAAGGCCGTAAGGGGACTCATGACCGGCCCATTTCATGTGCTCGCTCGTAAGTTTTTTGCAACTGTTTTTACTTCCTCAATAGCGAAGCGTTTTTTTTTTTGCTTATTGTAAACGTTGTTTTCCACGAGATACCGTAAATATTGATTGTGCCCTAAAATCTTTGCAACAAATGCTGCAGTTCCCGCAATGCTGTTGAGTTTAAGTTGAATGAAGACAAAACACGTCTACGGAACGAAGAGAAAGCATAAGCGACCGCGGGCTTTTAAGTTTGGCGACATTCGGCGAAAAAGTCGGTGAGATCACCGACCGCCGCCATTGGCCTGCGTCACGCTTGGATTGACCAGCGCCAATGATGTACGTTTACACTTGCGGATCGGCTAGCGGATCCACCCAGCTTTTGCCGCTGGGGCGAAACGCTGGGCTGAAAACGCGGCGGCGAGCCGTATAGGTTCAGGACCTATTTCTGCCGCCGAACGAGGCGTTTCGCTGACCGGAAGTGGCATTCTTGCACAGCGTGACGCTGCCTAGGTCACGAGTACGCGTTCTTCCTGTTTGTTTTGGCAATAACGTCGACGGCATAGAAGACATCCATCGTCGCAGGCATGGCGACGCTGGGATGGCGACGTAGGTTGCTGGGTTAACACACTCCCCCTTTATAGACGTTTTCTGTTTCATGTCGCTTTCAGTCACGTGGGTTCCATATCTGTTATGCGGGACGAAAAAAAGGAAAGCCGTTTACAACTCCCTGCAATGCCGAATCAGAGCGCAGCCCTTGGGGAGGAGGAGGGAAGGGTGCTGAGGGGTGGGACACATGACCTCGGGAGGGGGGTCACGTGACCCCCCCCCCCCCCGAGGTCCTCCCGAAGGAACCCGAGGCCAGCGGCCCTCGGGGGGGGGGGAGGGGGGGGGACACGTGACCTCGGGTAGGGGGGGGTCACGTGACCTCGGGGGGGGGTCACGTGACCTCCCCTCCCCGAGGCCACTGAAGGTACCCAGCCCTATTGAAAATATTTCTAAAAGGGCCCGTCAGCCTTGAAGGATTATGGGACCTCACAGGCCTTCAAAACCCTTCAAAAATACCCCACAGAAAAGCCCTTCAAGGATACCCCATAGAAAAACCCTTTAGCCCCACAGCCCTTTAACCCGTCAGGCCCTTTAGCCCATCAACCCTTTAGACGCCCAAATGTCTGCGAACCATAGACAAAAATGCAGGTCAAAACACTGAAAATTTATTGCCGACATTTAGTTTTACATGCATATTATAACTCAAAAAGCAACGCTTGTTCAAACCCGGCGCAAGGAGCTGTAGATGAAAGGGATCACATCAAACAGGGACAACTGACTTCTTGATCACAAAAAAAAAAAGATATTTCAAAGTACTCACAATGCCGCTGGGTATTTTCCTGATGTACCGTAGTTCAGCTAATAAAACCGAGCAGGTGCACCTCACGGACACATACACAGTCTCAGTAAGCACGTTTAGCGAAAACCACAAACTCGTAAGCAGCACCCGCCGCCGTTGAGAAATCCCGAGCACAGTCACGGTTTCGTCCATGATGACGTCGCGCCGGCGTCTTCGGCGTATTCTTTGCTCGCTGGTCTGAAGTCGGACGGACGAAGAGGCGCAAGGAACAAGTCCGGACAGCGGCCGTCATCCACCGTCTCAACACCCACAGTGCCATAATCCCGGTGCGCAGGCACAACATGCGGTGGGACGCTCACCCCGACTGCCAGGCTTTGCAGCGAGTAAGCCGACACCGGCCACCATCTCCTTGAATGCGCTGAACACAAAGGCGCTCGAGCGGTGCTGAAGGCGGCCTGCGCCGAACTATGGTTCACCTGCGGTACCAAGAAAGAAACTGCACGGATCAAAACAGACCAAGGGGCGAGCCCTCAAAACCATGCATGCTCACCTTCCTGGAGGAAATTGGTCCGCTCCAAACATCCAGGCTCGGGGGATAACCGGAACCGCACACGAGCAGAGAGAAAATGGCTATGGCCTCCCCCGCTTGCACACAGCACCCTCCTCCCCCCGACCGCTGGCCTGGCAGCCCTGCACCCTCTCCCCATTACCGGGCGGAGAGAGGCGATTGCTTTTTGGGGACAGTCCCCCGTGGGGGGACCGGTTCCCGGAACGAGTCGCTCCCGCGTGCGTCCCTGTTCCTGGAAAGCGCGCACTGCTCTCGGCTTGTTCCTTTTTTTTTTTTTTTTTTTTTTATACATGGTTGCACGTATTTCGCCTCGAGCGGACAGGATTGCGTTCGCCTCAAAACGCCGCTCGGTCAACACCACTCGGCCCGCGGCTCGTCAATTCTCCACATGGGCGGTCGCCCTCAGTAGCTCTTTCGCGACCGAACACCCGGGCAGTGACAGACGGGTCCAGGAGCCCACCCGTATCTGATAGAAGAGCAGTAATAAAAATCTGACCGTACTCACACACGATCGGCATTCTCCAAATACTTATTTTTTCCCCCGTAGCGTACAATAAGCAGCTATGTTCATTAATTCTGCGAAATGTGTTTTTTCCACCTGGGCCGTTGCCCACACAGACATATCAAGAGGCCTGAAGGTTTTCCCGACCCCATTAGAAAAGTTCTTGACAGGCCTTCAGACATTTCAAGGCATCGTAAAAGGGACTTTAGACATTTCAGGAGAGCCTCTGACGGGGCCAGTGAACCCACCAG